AAAAAAAGAAAGAAAGAAAAACAACAACAACAAAAAAGGCTCAGCGCCCGTAGCTCAGTGAGCAGGGTGCCAGCCACATACACCAAAGCTGGTGGGTTCAAGCCTGGGCCGGGCCAACTGAACAGCAATGACAACTGCAACCAAAAATAGCCAGGCATTGTGGCAGGTGCCTGTAGTCTCAGTTACTCTGGAGGCTGAGGCAAGAGAATCGCTTAGGCCCAAGACTTTGAGGTTGTTGTGAGATGTGATGCCACAGCACTCTACCAGGGGTGACAAAGTGAGACTCTGTCTCAAAAAAAAAATAAAAAAAGAAAATAGAGTCACTCCATAAAATGAAGAATAACTTCATAAATATTACAATCTATAGTTAGTATTTTTGTAACATCTTACATTTTAATAAATCAAAATAATCTTAATATAAAATGTCAAATGAAAAAATAATTACAAAATTAAAGAAAGGAATGCTTTAACCTGGTTCTTTGTACCCTCAATATTTTCCCAACAATAAAAAAAAAAAAGAAAGGAATGCTTTAAATTTTTGTACTTTTCCGAAAATTATTTTTCCCTGGGTCTATAAAATATTAATTTGTTTTTATATTTTACTGTTTTTAAATCAATAGGTAGCCTAGAGACAGAGTCTCATTTTGTTGCCCTCAGTAGAGTGCTGTGGCGTCACAGCTCACAGCAACCTCCAGCTCCTGGGCTTAGGCGATTCTCTTGTCTCAGCCTCCCGAGTAGCTGGGACTTTAGGCACCTGCCACAACGCCTGACGATTTTTTTTGTTGCAGTTTGGCTGGGGCCAGGTTTGAACCTGCCAGCCTCAGTATATGGGGCCGGTGCCTTACCCACTTAGCCATAGGCGCCGCCCTAGAACTAGTATTTTCGTTGCTAGAGCTAGCTTTTGCTCAGTACATAAGGTTAAAAGTTTCCTTTCTTTTTTTTTTTACTTATTTTTTTTAAAATCATAACTATATACATTTATGGAGTACACTGTGATGATATACAATGTGGAAGGCTTAAATCAAACTAACATCACCATCACCTCACTTATTTTTGTGGTACAACATTTATAATATACTCTTAGTTGTGTTGAAATGTACCCTCCCATTGTATACATTAGGTGAGATCCCACCAAATACCTTTTTACTTTTTTTCATATTTTGCAATGTTTTTGTCCATAATATTTAAGTTTTTCGATGCGTAGATATTTTTCTTTGGTGAAGCACTAGTTTCTTCTCACGGTCCCTGATCAATTTTAAATGGTTGGAACATTGGTGGCACTGTAAATTGCTTTCTGGGCTGCCACTTCAGCTTGGTGGGCTTGCAGTAAAGCTACTGTTTCATCAACCTTAGAACGGAGGGACTCTGGAAACTCAAGCATATGAAGAAATTTTGAATTATCAATCTCCAACAACATGCCAGTGATTTTACCAGCAAGAATAGAGTGCATGGCTTGAATAAAAGGAAACAGCCGTTCACCCAACATTTGCTTTTCCTCTTGAGGAGGCATTTGCCAACATGCAAGTGGTCAAAGGCTCCTGACCTTGTACGGGAATAGCAGGCTGTTGCATGGTAACTTGTGGCTATGCATTAAGATGTTGCTGAGGACTGCAGACTCCAGCAGCATATTTGTACTGTGGAACAGTGCAGGCAGAAGGAGTAGCTGCAGTAGCAGCAGCTGCAAGATGTGGACCTGTTCTCTGTGTTGATGTGTTAGCAACAGGCTGTGTTGGCATGACTTGTGGAACCTGTGAAGAAGCTGGTCTCATAGTACTAAATGGTGGTCTAGGAGCGGCTGGGCGGACAGCATCAGACATACTTTGGAATGGATGAGGTCTGGCTCCCTGAGCAGTCCAGCGAGGACTTGGTCTTAGTTGAGCAATTTGGCTAGAAGGATCGTATGAAGCATGGTTCTGAGGCTGTGGGACAGCTGCCATGCAGGAATCTGAAGGAGGTGCTGGCTGGTAGGGGTTGGTAACAGGGGTGGGCATAGCTCGTACACGTCCCGTTCTCTGTATATACTGGTTAGTGAGGTGAACCTGGCGCTCTTCTTTGCGCTGGGCTAAAGCTACATACAGTGGCTTGGTGGCCACAATTCTACCATTCATTTCTACAACGGCTTTGGTGGCTTCTTCTGGGGCAGAGAAACATACAAAACCAAACCCTTTGCTGCGACCACCCTCCATCATGACCTTTGCACTAGTGATTGTACCGAACGGAGAAAACTCTTTACGGAGACGCTCATCATCAATATCATCATCAAGGTTTTTCACATAAAGGTTAAGAGCCTGGTATCTGGTGAGCCTATCTTGCTTTATCTGTTCAAATTTGCGCTTAAGTTCAGTCTCCCGTTCCACTTTTTTCTGAGCTCGACCAACATATATTTGTTTTCCACTGAGCTCTTTCCCATTCATCTCATCCACAGCTTTCTGTGCACATTCATGCCTTTCAAAGCTTACAAATCCGAACCCTTTGGATTTTCCACTCTCATCAGTCATTACTTTCACACTTAAGGCAGGTCCAAACTTGCCAAAGAGCCCCTTAAGGCGCTCGTCATCCATATCTTCTCCAAAATTCTTTATGTAAACATTAGTGAACTGTTTCGCCTTAGCTCCGAATTCTGCCTCTCTTTCTCTACGAGACTTAAACTGTCCAACATACACTTTAAGATCATTCAGAAACATCCCGTTCATATTTTCAATAGCTCTTTCGGCAGCATACTGTGTCTCAAAGTGTACAAATCCATAGCCCTTGGAACCATTTTCGTCACAAACCACCTTACATGAAAGGATGTTACCAAAAGCGGAAAATGTTTCATATAGGGCCTTATTATCGATGGATTTGTCCAAATTTTTAATGAATATGTTGCCCACTCCACTTCTGCGAAGTGAGGGATCACGCTGAGACCACATAATGCGAACTGGCCTGCCCTTAATCACATCAAAATTCATGGCGTCCAGAGCACGCTCGGCGTCTGCCGCATGCTGGAAGTTCACATACCCGTAGCCCAAGGAGCGGCGCGTGATCAGGTCTCGGCAAACTCGGATGGAGAGGATCGGCCCGGCCGGGCTGAACTTCTCGTAAAGCATCGCCTGGGTCACATCGGGGTGTAGGTCCCCCACGTAGAGCGAGGTCATGGGGTAGAGCGAGGCCATGGTGTAACTGGGGACGCTGGGGTTTATCGCCACACAGCTGCCGCCACAGGCCACGATCCTTCTGTGAGAGAAAGAGGGTGAGTTCCGGGTTGGAGGGGGCCAGAACTGGGGGCAAAAGGGGCGAGGGCAAGCGCAGAGGGACAAAAATCAAACGGAATGAAACTACTCGAAGGCCCTAGAATGTGGTCGGTCCGCCGCTAAAGGTGCCGGGTGGAAACAAAGGCGGCAGTGATGGTCTAGGCCGCAGGAAGGCCTTGGTCTCTTGGTCCCTTTTTGGAGCTGCTACGGCGCCGCGGGTGGATGGGTCTGTCTGTGCTGCTTCACCGGGTTATTTTATAAAAGAGGAAGAAAAAACTAAAAGTCTCCAGCGGGAGAGACATGGATTTTTTGTAAATTTGGGGGGGGGGTTAAAAATATTTTTAAAGATTTTTTTGGATTTTTTTTAGTAATAAATGTATGTTCCCACCCGGAGCACATACTCTGCACTCTCAGCACTAATCGCTGGAGAGAACAGATTTCAATTTTTTTTTTTTTTGCACCAAAATAAACTCCTACTAACTTGTATTATGGCTAAACAGGATCTAGTTTGAAGCACTAAGAAGGATAAAACATCTATTTGAAAAGAGCCTCTATCAGAGCAATGTGAACTCTGTTAAAATAAAGCAAGAAAACCAGATTTATGATGAAGCTTGGGTAAAAGAACGGTGAAATCATTGACTCTTTTTTTTTTTTTTTTT